CCCACTATCATGATCCCAATTCTACCTTACAAATCCAGCTAGATCAGAGGATGTACACTGGTACAGATCAGAGCTGGAAGCACAGGGAATCCAGGACAGATAAACCCCTCAGGACCAATAATGAGAGTTGTGATACCAGAAGGGTAAGTGTAAATGGGGGAGAAAGGGGGAACTGATTGCAAGGATCTACATATAACCCCTCCCTGGAGGACAAACAACAGAAAAGTGGGTGAAGGGAAATGTCGGACAGTGCAACACATGGCATAATAATAATAATTTATAAATTACCAAGGGTTCATGAGGGAGGGGAGAGCAGGGAGAGAGGGGGGAAATGACGAACTGATACCAAGGGCTCAAGTAGAAAGCAAATGTTTTGAAAATGATGATGGAAACAAATGTACAAATGTGGTTGACACAATGGATGGATGTATGGATTGTGATAAGAGTTGTACAAGCCCCCAATAAAATTATTTTTTTTAAAAGAGAGATCTTTGCAGGGACTTACACACTTAAAAATCATTAGACAAGTGAAGAAGTTGGAGTTAAGATGGAGCTCTTGGAATTATTGGGTAAAATTGGTTACATAAATATATAGACTGAATTGGTGTGGGAAGATGAAAGGGACTACTCCCACATATATATAGGTTTACCAGGGGATAGGCTATTGATATGTGCAACAGATATATCCAGGAATCTAGTAGAGCATACAGGGAGGGGGTTATGGCAACCTCTTAGTCATAATCAAACACCTTGATGGACAGTCTCAGGGGCTGGCAGGGGACAGTAAGGTCAATTGACATCGTTTACAGTGGTTCTTCATCCTACTTTGGTGATCAGCTGGAGTCTTAAAACCTTGTGCGTCACCATCATCAAGAGTAAAGAAAAGTGAAGAAAATCAGAGATACATGGAAGCAATCCAAAGGGCTAGTGGAACCCCGATGTCAGCCTTTACTCCACTGAGACTAGAGAAAGTAGACTGTATCCAGTGACGGCTGCTGAACGCTCTGACTGAGATCACTATGGAAGGTCCTGGATCGAGTGGGAGAAAAATCTGTGACAAAACTCAAAATCTTCAAAGTGACTGGGCTTCCTGGTCTGATGGAGGCTGGTGTAACCCTGGACACTGTGGCCCTTCAAGCTGGGAACTGAGCTCACTCGATGGGTCACTTTTCAGCTGAACAGCAGACAGGCTTCTAAGATGAGCAGTTATACCAGACAGGACATACTCCTTAGAACAACCAACTGTCCGAGGCTGAAAGGGCAGTATCTGTGCAGGGAAAAGGCTCAGAAAGCAGGTAGGGACAGGAAAGGAGGAAGGAAGTGGGAAACACAGGGAAGATGTGGCAAGAATGCTGCTACATTGTGGGGACTACAGTCATTGTCCTGAAACAGGTGCATGAACTGTTGAAGGGAGAATCAACGTGTTCTGTCAACTTTCACTGGAACCACAATAAAAACCGGGTCATAACCTGGTCCAGGAAGCATAGAATCCCTGTGGCCATTGCCACTGGCCCGACCACATCTCCTTCCGGTAGAATAGGAGCGGAAAGACAGGTTCCACCTTATGAGGTCCTTCTTCCCAGGATCCCTCAAGTGCTTCTGGTGGGTGAAGACAAATGAATATCAGTTGCTGTAAGTAAATCCAGAAGGAATACTTTTCAACTACCCAGCTTAATCAGGAAGTTTGGAAGAAGGTGGGAAACAGGTTGCATAATCCAACCTACAATATACTTCACATATAAGCAGTCTTATCAACCAGCTATACGATGAACAGGAGGGAATATTCCCCACGAACAGCTCATCAAATAGACAAAAATGGAAAAGAAAACCAAAATAGACTTTTCGTGGATGAGGGAGTTTGGTTATACCAACGGACTTCTGATGCTCTTCTCGAAAATATATTTGAAAAAAAGGGATGATTAAAGACATAGAAACTAGCCTCCCATTTTATCTGTCCCTTGCAGCAGTCAGATAGCAAGAAACATTTTATCTGTAAAATATGTGCAAATGAATTCTGTACCTGCTTGTGCCAGTTTCAAAACCTAGAATCCATCCTGAATTTTAAAAACAAGGATGCCCTTTTGCTTTAGCACCAGAAGTGATTGCAGCAGTATGTGTGTTTTTAGAGTCATTAACAGAGGGCTGAACAAACTCCATGAGTAGATTTTTAAAACCTGTTTGTCTTTTTCTCCTGAGATTCTGAAATGACTAAATTAATGCACAGAAATTCTACAAAGACCCTTTGTATCACCAGAGAGGATGGTAGATTCCCCTCTCCTCAGTCCACTGTCATTTCTTCGTGAATATTTCTAGTTCGTTATCAGCCAGCTAATTTGCGGGAAGCACACACTGTTGACAGAGTAGGAGGAGGTGCAGGTGTGTGGGCTAGGCTTGATTTAGCATGGATGAGCCGAGGTCATCTCCTTTCCCCGCGTTTCAGTAAGAAAACACCAATGCCCGGATTCCCCTGACTCACATGGTACATCTCCACTTGGAAACGCTTCTCCTAAATGCTTAGTGGATGTTGACTGTTGTTATTGTCATTATTCCTTTGCCTCATTTTATTCAGTGTTTTTGTTTTTCCATAATGAAACACAAGATGGGAGCTGCTCTGTGCTTCAGGGTTCCAGTCCAGATAGTCTCATTACAAAGAGTTGCTTCTTATTTGGACCCCCCACCAATTGACTGTAGCATTCAAATGATACTTATTTATTCCTGCCTCATGCT